GGAGCGGTGGGCGCGGGCGCCACAAGCTGGCCTTGCCTAGGGCGCAGAAACACCTCGGGCTGGCCCTGATTACATGTCATTCCTTTACATTAGCTTCTCCCCAGCCTTAGGCTGGAAGTATGCAGCGTTATCATCAAGTGCCATATTCTAACAGGTGATGACGTTTTAAGCAAGGTTGGGACAAAACCAGTAGCAATGATAGCAGAGCCCCTCAAGTTGCTCTCGCAGCCAGCTTAAGTAGCCAGTTTCCTTTCCGTGTGCACCTGAGGCCAGCTGAGTCCCCCTTCCTCCTCCTGAGAAGCAGCAGGGCCCAGATCCTGTAAAGACTCATCACTGGAGTCCCCTGCTTCTACAAGGGGAGAGCAGCTGCAGACTGCCAGGCGCGCACTCCTGCATCTTCTCAGGGCCTCCACCCTGGCTCTTTGCCTTATGCTTTCCCCGAGGTCCTGGGGGAGACTGTGGTGGGTCTGGAAGAGGGGCTACCCATACTAATGCCTCCTGTCTTATAAGAACCTTTCTGATTCAGGGGCTGCTGGTTGTACTGGTGAAGGGTCCCTTCTGGGAGGAGGTTCTGCTTCTCTGAGGCCTACCTTACAGGGACTGTCTGCCAATGTGGGTCTCAGGGACAGGTCATCCTCTGATACGGTTGCCAACCTCCAGGTGGCAGCTGGAGATCTCCCACTAACAGTTGATCTCTAGACTACAGAGATGTGTTTCCCTGAAGAAAATGGCAGTTTTGGAGGGTTGACTCTATGGCTTTATATCCTGCTGAGATTCCTCCCCTCCCTAAATGCTGCCTTTCACTGGCTGCCTGCCCCAAATCTCCAGATATTTCCCAACCCAGCAATCCTATCCCCTTATGAGGACCTATCCCCCCCCACACACACACACACTTATCCAGGGTCGCTCAGGAGGCCAGAGAGACACTTAAACTCCTCTGGCCTAACCAGTCAACCTGTGGACAACAGCTGGAAGGAGGTGGACGGGCATCTGATACCAACACAGTGTCTCAGACCCATACCCGAGGAACTACTGACACCGTGTGGCTCTAAAACAGGTATTTTGACACCAAGATGAGCTTCTTACGTGAATCTTAAATATCGCAACAATCGTATCTGTTGTCTTGGAAAATGGCGGCTACAGGGAAAATGTCCCAAAATTGAAATGTCTACCCAGGAAAACTTTAAAGCAGTAGTGCCCTGAAATACACACAAACAATAAAATTCTCTGTACATATTTTTTTTTTCTGGTTGGGGGTGGGGGCAAGGTAGATCCAGGACTATTAAAGGTAACCCCAATGGTAAATAAGCTAAGGGCTCCATCTGGTGGTAAATGCAGATTTTGCAGACTGGCAACATGTGGGCCTGTATTCTCCTCCTCCTCTTTCTCCTCCTGGGCTCCAGCCATTGCACAGGTGCATGTGAAACTCATCATTCATTTAA